TGAGTGATGGGAGGAAGGACTGGGGGGGGGGGGGGGGGGGGGGGGGGGGGGGGGGGGTGGGGGGGGTCCGGACGCTCCCTCCTCCGCCTGCAGCCACACACCTCATGCTTTTCATTTGCTAAGTACAACAAGAACAACATGACATGCTGTCGGTTTACGACACAGGGATGATACAGTGCATGGAGGACAGGAATAGACTGCAGACAGAAATAAAACACTCACCAAAGAGTAGTGGAGCAGAGACGGGGCAGGTGTGAAAATTATAGTGTAATGCATGTATTTATCAGAGGTGGAGCTGCTCGAAGAACAACACCTTTTTGTTTCACTGCGTTAATTATAATCACACTTGCATGGTTGAGAATACACTTTGTGTACTTAGCTTCCTCCTTCCTCACCTCTCCCCTGACCTCTAGTCATAAACTGTTGGACCAATTAAGTTCACCAATTAGAGCATTTATGCCTTAAAAAAGACACAAACTGCAAAATTCCAATTGATGTTTCTACTTCTAATTCGGCCACTCTTCACACTCCGCCGGTAAATGTGTGACTTGTACTAAACCGGAGAGAAATTTGTGCAGCAGAACCTTTTCTTCTTTGTTGCCATATTAATCATCTCATGAGTACCTTTAACGGTAAAGGTACTACATGAGTGAATTCTGACTCTGACTTGAATCAAGGGTATATACAGTACTTCTTCCACTGATGCCGTCTCTCGGCACAGAGCAGAAGGATTCAGCAAATTGCACATGACGTCATCTGGCAACCTCAAGCCGCTTTTTAGCAGCCAACAGCTACTTCCTACTTCCTACTGGCAGCCCAGGCAGTCCCCAGTAAGCTGGAGGCGCGAGCAGCAGCTCCTCCACCATGAACGATCGGGTTTAGAGCTCTGGTGCCGCCTGGCTCAGGTCAGACCGGTTCCCCCTCCAGCTGGGCGACCTGGTGCCGGCTGTCTGGCCAGCGATGGCGGATCAGCCAATGTCACCTTTTTTTGGGGTGGGTCACGTGACCTCGTCCTCGTGCTGCCTCGCCATTGATCCAAAGCGATGACACCGAGGCGTCACGGTCCGCTGCTCCTCGCCAACAAGGTCGACTTAGCACTGCCGCCGAACAGCTGTGACATGCAACACACCAACAGTGGGGGGTCTTTGAATTAGTCTGTCTTCTTGGTCGCTGATTTATTTATTAACATTTTTCATAATACATTTTGGACCTACATTTACAAATAAGTACTGTGAAAAGTCTACGATAGTGACAGTAGGAAGAGTAGCACTGTAACAGAAGCAAATGAAGGGACGCAAGGAAGTAAGAAAGTTATACGGCTGAATTCCATTTAGCCTCTTCAGTTTCAGGGTCCTGGTATTGTGCATGCTGGCTCACTGTCACGCCTTACTGGGACACTTTAATAGGTCTAACCCCAAAAATTGCGAAAACTTACAAAAACTCTTGCGAGCCTATGCTGCCCGATAACCTATCCCAACCGTAACCTTTGGAGATCAACGCCCAACCTTAACCATTCACCGTCAATGCCTACCATCTAGAGACAACCACTTCATTAATTAATCATTAATGTTATCAGTAACGTCTGTACTTTCCCTTCTATGACAAGTCCAAACGTCTACTGTGAGAAAGGCCTGTGAATGAGCTCTAGAAGTGTACCTGAACAGAGCCGGCAGTGCAGTGGTTAGCACTGTTGCCTCACAGCAAGAAGGTTCTGCAGGCCGGCTTTTTCTTCTTCTTTCCGTGTGGTGTATGCATGTTGTCACTGTGCCTGCCTGAGCTTTCTTCAGGTGCAACAGTTTCCTCCTACAGTTCAACAACATGCAGGCTAGGTTAATTCTCTGAAATTGCCTGTAGGTGTGAAAGTGAGCTTGCCAGCGCTGTGATTAACTGCCGACCTGTGCAGGGTGTACACGCCTCTCACCCAATGTCAGCTGGGATCTACTCCGGCCCCCCCTGCCACTGTCAAGGATAAGGTGGATGGATGAGAATGTTATTTATTATTACAACATGCACAAATGGTTACTTTTAGTCGAAAAACAGCGTAGATGATTTGTAAGCTGTAACAGTCCTGTAAACTGTGATGTGAAGAGTTACACTCGTGACGACCGTGATCGCCGAGAGAATTCAACTTGTTTATGTGAGGGACGGACTGAAATGATCTCCACACTGATCTCTCTGTTCGTTGACGAGGTGTCATCTCCGATACTGGAGGTGACGCTGCGGGAGTCAACTGAACTGTGAACTGATTCTACTTCGCTCAGTCTGTCTACACTGGCTTAACTCGTTATCTTAAAACTGAGCAAACTGCAGCAGCACATCGTCACCTTTTTCCAGAAAAATGCTTTTAATTAGTGAAACCGCAGCGGAATCAGAGAAATGATGACATTACAACTGGCAGGTTTTCTCCTCATTGTTCTAAGAGAACAGTGTTGAAGATGAGACCGGACATGTTAGATTTCTGCTTTGTCGCTCCAGATGAAAGGACTCCAGAGGAGGTCAGGTGCTTGATAGGCGACTATGCGCTTTCTTCTCCTGAAACTATGGAATTTGTGTAAGATATCGGCGGCTGATTGGCACCCACTAAGCGGGTGTTTGATGTAAGTAGGAAGCGAGGGCTCCCCCCCCCCCACTCTCTTTCACATTCCATTTGATCTGCAGCTCGTTTCATTTGGTGTAAAAAAAAAAGATAAAAATGTATCAGCCGTTGAATTAACAGGAGCTCTGCACAAAAGATTAAATAATAACAAAAGGTTCCTCTACATTTTCTCCTTTGACCTCTGTCTTCTTCTCCTGACTCCTCCCCTTGTTCTTCTTCTGATTAGATTTTTGTCTCATTTCCTGCTGTCAGTTTGGGGGGGGGGGGGGGCTTTGTTTTGACTGGTCCTATCCCCGTTTTTAAGAATTGCTGCCGTGGACTTTTGTTGGGGCAAAAGTGTGATCACCACTACTTTTCCTTTTGCCTTTCTTTTGCTTAAACACCCTCTAACCACACGGCTGTAAACTCTGGATACCCACACTGTGAACCCGAAGGTTGTTGGTTCTAATCCCCTTGCCTGCTTGGTGAGTCAGGTCTGTCAATACTGGCAAAATAATTATATTGCAATGTTGTTTTTTGGCAGTGGCTGCAGAAAATAATGACTAGATGTACAGAGACAGATCTGGCAATTTGTTCTTTATACTAATTTCAAAGACAATGTTTTGTTTATGCATTTAATAATTTATACACTGGAAAATGGGCCCATTAGTAGACTATGATGATGAAGATCCATCCTAAGCAGCCAGCATTGATAAAATAATAGCCACACATTTAAAGTAGTTCATAATTGGATTGTCTCTTTTTTTAAACACTTGCACAGGCTCTCTGAGCATAAATTAAAATTACACTTTTTTTTACAACCTTGATACATTTTTTTGTAATGTTGACAATCCATACTCATTTATTCATAACTATGTAATCAAGGGGATCACCAAATGAAAGAGAGAGCGTAATGTTAACAGTTAACACCCAAACATGTCGGTTGTAAGCAGCCACTCGGGTTCAGCTTTGACCGTACTCAGTCCAGTAGCACATTTTAAAAACGCAACGGGAAATTACAGAATAACTTTGTAAATGTCTGTTTTTCTACAAAATCTGCACGAGGCAACTACTGTGAAGTGAAGGCGATGGACAGATCACGGTTAAAGTTGACTGGGTAACACCCCCCCCCCTTATGGAGCATTCATAAGCAGTTTATCAACATTCAATAAATGGTTCACAACACACTATAATATAGTAGTAAACAGATTATAAGCATGTAAAAAAAGTATTTAAAGTAATTTATACCACTGATGCAACAAACATACACACATCCACCCTTACTCTTCCCCTCTCAACATAAAGGGCACACTACTTGGCATTCATGCAGATTGTATGGTGCAGAATGGTACGTACTTCTTAGGTATAC